ATTTTATTTTTTTAAAATTTTGAAAGATTTTTAAGTGTTACAATTTTATTGTTGAGTATAGACTTCCGGCACCATATATATTTTTGTAATATTATATATACACTAAAAATTTTAATGTATATATATACACATCTATATATATAGATTTAAATACTAATGTAAATTAAATTATCATTTAAAATACTAAAAGAAATTTTTTTTAATTATTTTTTATAGTAAAAAGTAATTTATATTAAAATACATATTATAATAATATATCTTATACATTTTAAATATTAATATAATTAGATTTTTATATGATCATCTCTCATACAGTCATATTTTCTTATCAATATTATAATTACCAAAACCTAAATTTTACAAATTATTAATATTTGTGAATTCAATAAATTTAACAGAGCTTATATCTTCTTTATTTATTTTTATAACTTGTTATTAAAAGATTTGTTTTCAAATTAATTTTTATTTATTCAAAAATCTACATATTTATATATATTTATTAAATTATTTTTGTTTAAGATAAGCATTATATATTTATATTTTATTTATAATTTATTATTTCTTTCATTTTTTTTTTTAATATTATATCTTTTTCTTTATTATTATATTCTTTTTAATTATATTTAATATATTAAGTAATTATTCATTATTTGTTTTTAATATTCTTTTATTTGTTTTTCTTTTTATAAGTCTTTATTTAATATTTTTTTTTTATTATTTTAGTTTATTATTATTTTATTATTAGTTTTTCTTTATCATATGCTTTTAAATATTTTTTTAATTATATTTTATCTTTATTATTTATAATTCTAAATTATTCTAAATTATTAAGGTATTTTATTATTATTTTTTTTTTTTATCCTAATATTCTTAATTTATAATAATAATTTTTTTTATTATTTTATATTATTTTATATATTAATTATTCTTTTCTATTATTATTATTTCTAAATAAATTATAATGTAATAATAAAAGTTAATATATAAATATAATAACAATACTTTTTATATTTAAATTCTTTTATTTAATTTAGAATAATTATTATAAAATTTCTATTATCAAAACTAATTATATCTGTTTTATAAGATAAAATATTATTTATCGTAGAATATAAAACAAGTGGTAAAAATTTCTTATTTTATTAATTTATTATAAAATACTGTTATAGATTATTCTTCAATTTCCAATATTTTTTTCTAATTTCTAAATATTACATCATAATTAAGATTGTTTATCTAAATTTATTTTTAGATTTAATAAAACGTTGTAAAGTCAAGAAATCACAAAATGATATATCATGTAACCCTTTTCAGTAAAGTAAATCATAATGTAGAAATCAAGAGTTTAGAAAACAACCAATTGAACATGAAAGAAAAACAATTAGCCAGAAATCATATGATATTAAAGGAATAAAACAACTATAATTATCTGAAAAAAAAGAATTTACCAATAGTAACAATCCGAAAATAAAAATAAAAATAATGAAAAATAAAAAAAATTAGACTATTAATTATCGGTAATACACTTGGTTAAAGCAACATAGAGTCCATTAGATAAAGGTAAACTAATTATTCACTAACAAAAGACATTGCACTTCTATGTAATTTTGTTGTGCTCGTCTATATTTGTTGATGCTATCCTGGCTCTTAATTCATTCATTGTAATTTCACCAAGATTATTAATGGTTGAAATCTATCGACTGTTTAGGTTTTCACGGTCCAGATTGAAAATGAGATACGATTAAATTATTTTTTTTTTGTCCTATTCCTTCAGAATCCGTCCAGTAATTAGTCTCGTCTCTTGTAAAACACATAATGAAGCGTACTCTCTATTCTGGTTGTTTTAGTTAGACCTTTATTTTGCGTCTTGTAAGAAAATTATTAAAATAACGAGAATTCGAATAAAATTTTGTCAATCAAATGTCATTTGCTATGATCGACATGGCGCCTGATATGATTATTCCTATATAGAAGTGATTCTACATTCACTCCATTCACTCACAATGCAATATCAAATTTTCAGTTTTTAAGCGCATCAAAGCAAAACGTTATCCCTTCTTCTCAGAATTCATTCGTTCGAATGTTGACTTCATAGCCAGATCATCTACTCAAACGAGTAACTTCCAAGGACTGGAGGGAGCATGGACAAGGCGTTTCGATTTAATTGCAATAAAAAATATCCAGTGATGTTGGGGAGCTTCAAGTTGGGTTTACTGATTGCGGTTTTTTAGATTCCCAACGCTACGAATTATCTCTCATAATTGTGCATCACATCTCCCGCCCTAATAAGTAACAATTTTTCAAAATTATGAAAATGCAGGTGATTATTGACAAAGCAGACTGGTCTTGTATCGCTGAAAAATGGCATATGGTAGGTTACAAACCTAAGGGCTTTTTTTCTCGATCAACCTCGCTGTAATTTATTTTAAAAAGTTTCTTTGAAAGATTTTTACTGACTATATACAGTATATGAAAATATCGAAAGACCAATTACGATCGTTGTTATTATATTCACACTTTAAAATACTCTTGATTTTATTTGTTTCTTTTGTATAATACATCAGAAAAGGTTTTGTAAATTATGATTATTTTTTTTCTTTTTAGTGGGTTGTAAATAATAAACAAATAATTCTGTCATTATATATATATATTTTTTTAAATTTTGAGTTGTGATGCGTCAAGTCCCAATGCGTTTAAAAATAAATTAACATTGGCAATTTTGTGTGATGCTTTATCAGCTGAAAGTCTTGAAGCTTGCATTACAGTTTCCAATACTCGTTCCCTATTATCAAGATGAGAATTTAATAAATACATTCACCTCATGGATTCTACATATAAAATTTCCATACCTCACTTCGGTTACTAGAATATGTTGCTGTTCAGTCGAAGCACCAACAGCCATCGCCGCAAGAAATTGCCATACATACATATCGTCTAATCCAATATTAAATGGGGGAAACAATGGCAAAAAATGATTTTGCAGAAGATTAAATAATCGATTATATAACTCTTGCCTATGTATTATAAGTCAAAAT